TTCTCTATACAAACCACACCAGATATTTACCTTTTGAGGACGCTGCTGGTTTCTAAGTTCAAAATACCTGTGTAAATTTTCCTTACATCAATAACGGGTGTGACTTGCATTATGTCGACTCATGGAGTTGAAAGGTCGATTCATCTGTGAAGACGATTTTTCTAAGAAAAGATTTATTTGCCTTTTACAGTTTCACAAAATTCCATTCGCCTAGATCAATTTTTTGGGAATTTCGTACTTTGTATGAATGATATTTATTTTTTTTCAGTAGCCTCCTCACCGTCCTTGTACTTGAGTCAATCTCGTGGGCTCGAATTATTTAGTTGGAGTTTCATTAACTAATATCAACAACATAATTTCTTTGGCTTCTTGATCCTCATTATTTTCCTGGAAGTCATTTCGTTTATGGTTACGAAGAGAAACGCCCCTGTATTTTTGAAAATTATTAACAACCCTCTAGGAATAGTGGTAATTACAGGAAAAGGTCTTTCAGGATAATTTTCACCAAATAAAAACTTTACTAAACTAAAAAACAAATTGAAAATTAAATTAAACTAAACTTTAGAAATGCAGTTTATAACTAAAACTGAGAATTAAAGATTTTCTGAAATTAGTTAGCTCTCAAATTACAGCCATAGATTACAGCATAGAAAATTACAGAAACGAACATTGTCAACTTTGAAAACAAAACCAGCTAGAGTGACAACAAACATATTGACATTCAGCAGATCGTATGGATCATGACATGATCATGACTTCCGAACATAGAAAAGTGATTTATAATGGTTATTTATGTATCAAGGGAATTATGCGGGTGTTAATACCCCAGGGTAACGTGGGTATTAACACCTGATAATTCCCGTGGTACAGGGTGTTTGTTTATAACTGGAACACTCAGTGACTTTCTTATTATTGAAAATGAAGGACATGTTTAAATTTGAAAATTTCTTGGTAAATTGCAACCTTAAGCGCTACAACGATAATTTTTTGTCATCATAGGTATACAAGGGTGCGCCAAAAAGGTTTTTTTTTTAATCGAACGCCCTGTATATTTTTGTTATTCAAATAGTGTTTGTTATTTTTGGGAAGTTAATTTTCTAAGAATTTCAAAAATGCAAAAATATACAGGTTGTTCCATTTGAAAAAAAAATATTTTTTTTCCCACCCTGTATACTTATAGCGACAAAAAATATTGTTGTAACGATTAAGATTGTTGCAATTTACCAAGAAATTTTCCAATTTAAACATGCCCTTTATTTTCAATAATAAAAAAGTTACTGAGCGTTCCAGTTATAAACAAACACCCTGTACATAGATAATTTTATATCCTACTGAATTTACTGTATTCTGTCTATTTTTATAAAGGAATAAACCATAAATCAAAATTTATATTTTTTGTCAAAGTTTTACCTATTCAAGGTAAAAGCGGCAGTGATGGAAATCCTTAACTCCCTTGGGAGTTATAGAAATCCTTAACTCCCTTGGGAGTTAAGACCCTGTTTATGATTATCGTAACCAAGGTATTATATGGTTATAATAGTTCAGTAGGATATAAATTCATAAATAGAACATTCACTGGATTCAACCTCTCCACTTTCTGTTTTAGTTCCTGACTACACCGCTGTGCGCCTGTATCGCCGTTTTTTAACGTCCATTAAACATCATAATGCATATGTCATCTCAATGTTGTCTGAAATAAAAACTGTGGATATAATTTGTTGAGTGCATCGTTGTCGATTGTTTTGGAATGCAAGACTGAAAAAAGTGATAAGTGCATCCATAAGCAGCCGGTTCAAAAGTTGTTGGCACAGTGTGTGACCAGGCAGCAAAAAATAATTCGTCCCGTCCATAAGCGAACTGCAGAGACAAACCAGGGAAATCTACATCAAAAACAACACAGAAAACAGAAATTTTGGTTTTGCTTATGAGTCAGATAGATTATATATTTTATCCATTTTTGACGTTTAAAAATGACATTATTGAACGTATAACAATAAAGGTAAATAGACGTTTGTCACCTCAGTGATTTAAAAACATTTTAACTCACTCTCGGCATTTTAAGTCACTCTGCCCAACTAAAAATCTGAAACCTCAGTGATTTAAAATATTTTTAACTCACTCAATAAAAAAGTGCAGGTCGGGTGACCCGTCACAGGTTGATCAATGATATAATAAAGCGCTCGTTAGCATCAGCAGATATCCCTTCCATACTAGAGCCACCTGGTATATGTAGAAGTGATGGCAAACGTGTGGATGGAATGTCTCTGTTGCCTTGGAAGAGTGGTAAAGCATTACTTTGGGATGCCACATGCCGAGATACTTTGTGTCAAACTTACGTATCAAAGACAGCGATTAAGGCTGGTGAAGCAGCAAGAATTGGTGAATCCCAAAAAATGCTCAAATATAAAGAACTGCAGGACCGAGGTTTTCTTTTTGTTCCGTTTGCTGTGGAAACTTTCGGACCTTGGGGTAATGAAGCTAAAAGATTAATTAAACAAATTTGTCAGAAAATCAATCATAAAAAGGCATTTAGCTTTATTACCCAAAAAATTAGTCTAGCAGTACAAAGGGGAAATGCAGCGTCAGTGCTTGGGACCCTTCCAGTAGGATCTGGTTTAGAGGAAATTTTTTATATTTGATGTTTTGTTTTTATATTTTATATTTTATATTTTGTTATTTTATATTTAGTATTTTTCTTTTTTTATAGTTGTATTGCATCTTGTATAACAATTAAAATTGTTCAATTTAACTCACTCCCAAGATTTTCCTTTGTACTTTATTTTTTAAATTTCCACAAAATGGGATAAAATTTTGTATAAATCACGTGAGTTAAAATGTTTATTTATTCGAAGAAAATTAACCCACTCGCTAGGGCTCGTGGGTTAAACTTTCTTTTCATGAATAAACATTCATTTAACTCACTTGGTGTATAAATAACTATTTCATTAGGTGATTCTCAAAAATATATGAAAATAAATTGAATAAAATGATAGTCATTTTAGTTTATGATGAAAAAATTGAAATGTCAAACCAGTAATTTAAAACGAGTCAAACGGCCCGCCAAATATTAGTTCAATGACTACACCGCTATGGCAGCACCGTCGGAAATGTCACTGGGCGACTACAACAGAAGTGAGCAGCGCCGTAGCAACATGGCGCCAGGTTGCGCCATGGTGCCAGGGCTCACACCTTGGGGGGCGCACAATCTCAAAATCTGAAATGCAAACGCCCAAACGGTGTTTTCTTATCTGCAAAAGATGACGAAATTTTTGAAATGGCAGAAAAGCTTCGAAAAAAATATAACGCCGATATTTCCGATTCAATAGCGCAGCAGTTTTTATTGTTTCGTCATTGCTTTTCAAAGGAATTGAAGAATGAAAATATTAGTTCTTTGAAGGACTTGCTGGAATTCATATTGATAAAAAACACTTCTTCAAGTTCACGGGTTCACGTCACAGAGATTATAACAGCATGTTATATATTTTTAACGGAACCGATAACCGTGTTTTCTGCAGAGCGTTCATTTTCACCTCAGAAATAACATGGGACAAAAAAGACTGTCTTCACTTGCACTAATTGAAAATGAGGTAGCACGTTCATTGAATTCAAATGAGTTGATAAAAGTGTTCGCAGCTAAAAAACCTAGAAAATTTGATTTTTAATATTTCAAACCTTTTTTTTTTTGCCTGAATAAATTTTTAACTTCGGATTTTTCGTAATTTTCTTTACACCCATCCGAAAAACCTAAATTATCTAGAAAAATTACTAGGGGGGGGGGGCCTCTGACAAAAGTGGCACCAGAGGGCTGGGATTCTGTAACGAATAGCGATATTTTCGCTATCTCTATTGACGTCCCCTCTCTATTGATTTCGAAAAGAGTGAAGAAGACAGCAAGTGCCATGGCGATATCGATAACGATCTCTATGCGTTACAGAATTCCGCCTCAGGACCCATCAATGCTACGGCGCTGGAAGTGAGCGTTCTATATCAAGAATATAAATCACTTTTCTATGCTTCCCAATTTACCGAATTAGGACGATCTCCTTAATGCCAAGCGCAAACCAGAGCGGTGGCGGTGGCGGGCGCGATGGCAGTGGCGGTGGCGAACGAATACTGCACATGTGAATTGAACCAAAGCGTGCATACTACTTTGATACTACGACGAACTGGAAAACGCGCCCGCCGTTCTTTCTGCGTTCTACCGCGACTCTGCGACAATCACATTGCGATCGGCAATAGAACGCTGCCTGCATCATTTTCCCGCCTAGTTCGCGCAATCATCGGTACAGCCAAGGGTACAGCGATGTGCAAACATGTGTGATACTCAAAAACTTATCGGAAATGTGCGATAAAAAAAAAAAAAAAACAAAGCAAGGCTTCTTCTTTCATGTCTTGGACACTCATTGCGTACTTTTAAATAAGTCGAAACAAAGATAAAAATTACAATCAAGTAACACCTGGTCCTGGTAAGACAGAGATTGATAGAATTGAAAAAAGAACAGTCCATCAAAATATGCCAGTAGAGCAAACTCTGCAATCAATCTTGATCCAGAAGCGAAAATGAAAATACTGGAAGTACTAATATTTGTCGTGGTAAAAACGTGTTGGTTTGCGGATATCTAGTTCGCTCTGTCCAAATTCAAGCGGCAGTAAATGACATTTAATAATCTGGGCTGGGAGCATGACAAGGAGAATTCTATTTTCATGACGTCACCCGCGACCTATTTATCGCGTATACTACAGGCGATGATCACTGAGGCTAGGCAACCTGACGTCATGAAAGTAGAATTTTAGTGGAATTCTACTTTCGTGATCCCAGCCCAGAATTGTAGACAAACACCAGCCTTCCCATTGGTTGAAACGCCCTACCTGGACCAGTGCGTATGCACGGAGGACATTTGATAGGTTGGTATGAAAATGACCAGTTTGTCATTACTGCCGCTTCGATTTGGTTCAACCATAGGTACTTTTCATCAATATCATTATCATTAAATAAAATACAAATTAACGTAATTTTGTTGTATATTTAACATTTTTTTCTATATCAGTCCGTTTTGAGTATTTGGAAAAAATAACAAAAACTTTATAAAATATACGATTGGTATGCAGCAACCCATGCTATTGGGTGGGCCCATTTTGGAAATTGACCTAAAAATTCCAGATATGCTGCCGACTTTTGAATTCTGTTTTCATGGACGTATCGTCCGGAGACTGCTAAGTCTACTACTGGGCCTTTGTGGTGTGCACTAGTTTCCATTATAAAGTCAAATGTTAAAGGAGTGCCTGAAAAGGAGAAAAACTATGAAATGTGGCTGTAGAATATAAATTATACACTGAAATAAATAATTTGAGTATTATAGGGGAGGCTTGAATAAGAATTCAACACAAAATTTCGATTAACCGACCACCATCCTAAATTAATTTAAGAGTGAAATACCTACACTTTGTTTCATGAGGGTTTATATACTTTTGACATAATTTGCCTTCCTTTTTCTAACAAATAGAAATCAGTATAGAAATAGACCTATCTATTTTTACCTGGTATGCGCGCGCAACACGAGGCAATGCCTTTTCATTGGTTACCTATCACAGGTGTGAGGTGTTCGTTTTGCACGCTGGGTATCTCTTTGTCATTGTTCATTGCCCGTGGTCTGACAAGAATAAGAGTACGGTTGATATTCAACTTAACATAGCTTGACAAGTGTCATTCAAAAATTTTCATTGATTAATACATTGCACGATACGCGATTTTTCTCCTTCCTTTTTTAGCCTGTGCAAATAAGAAGGATGGATTGCTATACGTAAGTCTAACATAATTTGGTACGTTTTGCCTCGTCTTGCGCAATGAGCGTTCTGTGTCTTTTTTTATCTAATGAAGTTTTCGTATTATTTCCTGTTTGTCTGGTAAAATAGATAGGTCTATTGACTGAAACAACTCAATGCAATGTCAAAAACGTTTGTCGGTTCTTAACCAGATGTCATTCTATCATTTCAATTTGTCAAAAAAATTAATTGAATGTGTCATATGAATTAATCTACAACCCTTTTTTTTCAAGTTATGATGTCTTCGATGTCAAAAGTATATACCCTTGTGAAACGAACTTTACATCTTCTTTTGGCAAAATTCTATTCAATTTTAATTGAATTCAATTTCAATTTCAAAAAAAAAAACCAATCGAAGATTGCTATGGTTTTTTAAACGTATGTATTAGCAATATTTTTCTTCAATTTTGTCAATGAACTTCAATGTCAAAAATCCTGACCAATAAAGAAACAATAATGGACGTCCGTTTTTGTAATCAGAGCAGTCTTTGATTGTTTTTCTTTTGAAGACCCGTTACAAAGTTATTTATCTATTGAATTATTTACCATATAAGCCTGAAGATGATGCTTGCCATCATGGAAGCAATATAATTATTAAATAATTGAAAATGAAGAGAAAGTTGAGGAAAATTGGAGGATTAAAAATTTAGTCCTAGGCGGGATTCAGCGTCCTCAGCATTGCCTCAACTCAAACTCCAACATCTTTATTTCAAAATTTAAATTGTTACATTTACAGGTGGGGGGGATAGGCCCCCCTCAAACTACAAATATACAACATTTACTTAAATCTAGGACAGGACTTCTTAAACTAAATTGCAACGTGCGCAGCACGTTGTGCTCACATACCCGCCTAGCGAGCATTGTGGGCGCTTCAGCCTGGTCGGTGTTGTTGACCGCAAACCCCTGTACCTATTATCATTACCACTTTCCACGACGCTCCCCGGTTACCCTCTAACGTCGGTTAATTGACCCTGAAGTCGCTGGTGAATACCACGGATGGCGCTCACTAGGCCATTACGCGCAGCGCTCGTTTTGTGGGGAAAAGCTATGAAAAACCCCACTTTTCATTAACTTATATTATAAGAAAAAATAAAAATGTTGTGTCCTTGGGCAGTCGGGTTCACTGGACGCGTCCTCACTTCCTCACTAGCAATTGTGAACTGAGTATGTGCGCGTGACCACGGGTACGGATTGAATGGGTTCGACAGCTCTGCACCCCGACCAATCCTAAGACCTGATGAGTCTCTAGGTAATGGTTTGGGTGGGGAGGTTTGTAAGGGATGTCAGAGAATGAGGATTGGGTGCAAGAATTTACCGGGATTGGGACATGCGTTTTTCAGCTAAATTGGGCAGTTTCGCCTATATGTTTGTTGGTCAGATTGGGGTGCCTGATGTTTAATTAGACAATAGTGGTTTCCTCATAGTCAGCAATAGAGGAGTTTGTCGCACACTAAATCGCTGACTAGTTGGAATTTTCCGAAGAACTGATGGTGGAAATTAGACCTTGATGGGATTGCCAGAGTCTCCTGCTTCAGACTAAGGCTATTGGCGCCTGCGCCAAACTTTCTTGTCTAATTTTATCTTGTCGTTAAGATTTTAGCTGTGCATTGGATAGAGTATTTTAATTTGGGTGTGTCAGTAGCAGGTTGGGATAGGAAGGTGTTTATGGGGGTTCAAAATAGATTGGCAAATTCTTGTATGGTGGACCGTGAACTATGGGGTTGTCTGGATCATATCTCGTTGCAGTCATTTTGCATGTTAGAGGGGAGCCTTGAACTTGATATCGGTAAAATTTTTCGCTGATTTCATCCAGGTAGTCAGAGATATAAGGTATGGATGCTACCGCATGCATATCCTGGCGTACCTGGATTTCGACACCACTCCCCTCAAGATTCTGTTTTGGAAACGCTGCAAGCGGTTTCGCTGAGTTGTGGAGATTATGTTCCAGACAGGGGCCCCATAGGTTAGCATAGGTCTTATGACCTGTTTGTAGATTAACAATTTATTACCTGGCGATAAGGGCGAGTTAGGGCCGATAAGGGGATAAAGTTTTTGCTGCGCACTGAAGGTGCGAGCCAGAGCATGGGAAACATGGTGATGGAATTTCATTCTCTGATCAAAAAGGATTCCTAGGTATTTCGCTTTTGGGGACAGAGTACAGGGATGTCATTTACGATAAATGGGTTGGGCATGGTGCTATTGGTATGCTTCTTGTGGAAGCATATGAGCTCCGTCTTTTGACCATTAACACCAAGCTTCCACTTATCGTAATAAGGTTGAAGGATTGCAAGGTGATGGGCTAGCTGAAATTTTGTTGCTTGTGTGTAAAAGGATTGAGCGTAAACAGCGGTGTCATCTGCATACAGCGCCAGATTTGTATTCTGGAATTTTGGAATGTCCGCTGTGTACAGAGAGTACAGCAACGGACTGAGTGTCGACCCCTGCGGCACTCCGGCCTGAATTGGTTTGGGATTTGAGACGGCGTCTCCTTGTTTGACGCAGAAAGTGCGGTCGCTGATGAAAGACTGTATCAGGGAGATGATGTGCAGTGGGAAATTGAAAGTTGCGAGTAATTTATAGATAAGGCCTGCATGCCAGACCCTATCGAAGGCGCGCTCCATATCTAGCAGCAGAAGAGTCGTGTTCATGCGCCTCTTGAACGCTTGGAAGACGTCGCAGCGATTTTGGCTGCAAGAAGTGTGGTGTTGTGACGGGGGCGGAATCCGAACTGCTCGTTTGGGAGAATGGAGAAGTTTTCGACGTTTGTTTTTGACCCTGGACAGGATTAACTTCTCCACGAGCAAAGGAGTTTCGAAGGGAGATTGAGCGGTAAGAATATGGGAGTGTAAGGTTTTTTCCGGGTTTGGGCATCATAACCACTACAGCCTTTTTCCATTGAAAAGGAAAATGCTGTAGTTTTAAGATAGCGTTAGTTATTTGTACCAGTTGGACAATAACTTTCCGCGGAAGATTTTTAAGGGCTCGATATGAGATGCCATCTGGTCCGCTTGGGAGCCGACGGATAATTCGTGTCATCTCGCCGGGCGCGAAAATGAGTTCAGCGAACAGGTGCTGGGGGATGGGGTATTTCCGAATAGCAAAGGCTGCTGCTGTACGCTCGATTTCCTCCTGTTCAGGGGAGTTGGGCGAGAGACAGGAATGAAAACTCTCCATGAACGAAGCCAGAGCTTCCGCCTTGTCTGGGGCAGTGACGCAATCCCTACCATTACTAGTAATGGCAGGGGTACGCACAGGCTGTCGCCTCATTTTGGACTGAAGGCGCCACAGAGAGTTGTCTTGAGGACGAAGGTTTTGGAGAGTTTCTGTTCATCTACGGTTCCTGAACTCGCTGATGCCATCCCTGATGGCACCCTCGAGTTCCCGAACAAGTTGGCGATCCTCGTCCCTTCGGAGGCGTTGCCACCTCCTCCGGGTGCGATTCTTCAACGAGATGAGTGCAATGAGCTATCGTGAGAGCTCGTCTCGTCCTCGATGAACAGTCACCCTGGTTGCAAGGGAAGTTTGGGTTTGCTGGACATTCCTGGTCAAGGTTGAAACCTCTTGCTCGTCAATGGTGTCAATTTGACCAGGAATTTGGGTTAGGGTATTGAGCCGAAACAGGGGCCAGTTGAAGTTTTTGTAACTCAGGCGAACTTGTGGGCGGGGAGGATCAAGTTCGCCCCAGGTGAAAAAGATGGGTAGATGGTCCGAGCTCAGGGCGTTGATCCTAACGAGATCGGAAAGTTCCCTGAGTCCTTTGCTGAGGCAAGGTCGATGTATGTCGGTGTCATGTTATTGCTAGGATAATGGGTGGGCGATTCAGTACTGAGGAGTATCAACTCCGGTCGGTCGTTGACGAAATCATTTAGGATCATACCGTTGGTATTGCCTCTATGATTCCGCCAAAGTCTGTGTCTGGCGTTTAGGTCTCCAAGCAACAAGGAGCGAGAGTTTTGGGGGAAGAACAGAGTTAGGTTGGCTACTGACTGACTGGTCTGCAGGGCGTTGTAGCAACCATCGATCAGAACGCCATTCGCAAGCTGGATGCTCACGTGCTCAATGGCAGTTCGCTACTGTGGCATCCGCTTGTATGCGATTGATTCTCTGATCAATAACGCCACACCACCAGCGCGGCGGCCTGCTCTGTCAGAGCGTGCGACGAAGTAGTATTTCAACACGAGACGATCTTCATCCCCCAGCCATGTTTCCACGACTACAGCGATGTCGATCCTCTCGTGATGAAGGAAGTGGATTAGCTCACCTAATTTGCCATTGAGGCTATTAGCGTTCCAGTGAATTATTTTGAACATTTTTCAAATTAAACTTTTTTATTTCTGAGCAGAAGAATTGACGACTAGCGTTGGACAACCCCGCCTCGTCATTGCATTGCTCTAACATGCCAATGTAATGGTCTAGGGCACGCATCATGCCGTCCATATTAACCAGCGACTCCAGGCGGGCAAACTTGGCCTGGAACGTCGCGAATGTTGCACCTAGATTGGAAGGGGTTTGATGGCTTACCTGGCTGGACACTACACTACGTACGTTATTGAGGTTATTTACTCCACTTCCGCGCACTAAACCACTTGGAAAGTCTTGGTCATAGTTTTGTTGTCTAGGTGGTTGCATTGGTGGCTGTCTTGGAGGCGGTTGCCTCTGGAGTGGAGCAGTTTGGACCGCTCTTCGGTCCCAAGCTGATTGTGGTGGACGTTGGGCAGGAACGTAGATTGGTTTTGGAGCATTACTTTCATCAAGCATCTGCTTACGATATTTGTAGACCGGGCAATTGGTCGACATTGCCCAGTGTGCTCCATTGCAGTTAGCACAGACCTACTGCTTATCTCTGTTGGGGCAGTCGGCCGTCATGTGTGCTTCAGCACACTTGGAGCACTTGCTCCGTCTGTGGCACCCAGTCATCGTATGGTCCCATACTTGACACTTGATGCACTGGGGGACATCTTTCCTGTTTCTCCTTTCCTCCCACTGTACCCGCGAAGCAAAGACTATTTTGGCCGTCGCTCGGATTTTTGCTAGAGTCCAATCTGCGGTTGTGACCACCAGGTATAGTGGGTTGTCCTGCCCCGTGTTCTTAATTGGGTATACCTCCTTCACCCTCATGGAATATCTGTCTGCCAGATACTCCTTGATCTCGGACGGTGCGTAGTTCCCCCTCATATAACGCATCACAAAGGCGTGTGCCTTTTCGGAGGGAACCGTATAGGTGTGGTATTCCGCACCGTCCTGGCTCAAGTGCCTGGCCATACTGTTATGGTCTGCTGTTCTTGGCATACAGTATGACCGAGTTTCTGGCATACTTCATCTCGAGTGGTTCGGTTGTGATGTTATTTGCCATCTAGAGGAAAGCCTTGTGGTTGGCCAACTTGCCTTTAACCACAATTAGGGGGGAAGCGCTTTCTTCCCCTTGACTTTGGGTGAAGGAGGTTTGGCCTGGATAGAGTCCGCCACCTTTGTCCTAATCTCGTCTTGAGATTTTGCAAGTTGGGACACTTCTGGGTCCGGGTCTTTGGATTCAAGTACTTGGTACCTGTTTCTTGTTGGCACTTGGAACAGTTGTCCAAAGCCCGTCGCCTTGATAATTGCTGGTGTGGAAGCTGAGGCTAAGGAAGTTGAGGCTGCGGAAGTTGAGGGTGTCTCAGCATCCTGTGGAGGGGTAGGGGGACGAGGGGGTGGTTTAGAGAATTCGCACCCTTCAGTGGTTTTCTTGGTTTTCCTCTGCTCAGGGCTCATTTCCAGAGGCCTCTTGTTTTGGTTACGTTTATTTTTGGGCTCTACGTAGAGGTGATTTCGCCTGATGTGTGAAATTATCAGGTCCACCATGGCATTCCCCTCTTCCTCAGTATGAGTGTCCAGATATGTAAAATGTTTGGAACACTGCTTACATCCTCCTGCGTGTATCAGTAGGCGGGTTTTCACCTTACTTATTCCTCTTATGGAGTCTCTTGATGAGGTGGTAGATGGAAAGCTCCTAACGCTTTCATTATCGGAGTCTTCGTCCATTTTGGGATCCCCTCCTGGGGTATCGCCGTGTTATAGGTCACCCCCTTACTTTTGGCTCGGGTGCCTTCTATTTAGTCGTCCCCTGACTTATTGGGAGCGTCCTCTGATATGGACGTTCTCTTACTTAGTAAGGCCACATTCCCTTACTTGTTCGGTTGTACCCTCACTTTCAATGAGTGGGTCGAAAATTTTGCCAAGTCCAGTTGCCCTGACTTGCTGCTGGACAGCGTAATTTTGAGCGTGCCCTGGGTTAAGTACGTACCCTCACTTTTTTATGGCTTGCTATCCAAGTTGGCGTCCCCTTACTTGGTTCCGACACTCGGTGGATTTTTGTGTTTACTGTCCAAGTCGACGTACCCTGACTTGGTTTCGGCACGTCGACGTGCCCTGACTTTTCGAGTCGCTTGGTGCCCTACCTTTTAGAGCGTTGGCGTACCCTCACTTTTCCTCTTTATGTGTCGGGTTTTGAGGATATGGGTAGATTGGAGGGACCCTTACTTTTTTCGGATTTTTATTTTCCGTGGATTCCAGTACAGAAAACTGTCTGTCAGGTTTTTGGCCAAACTGGACAAAATTTATATGGGGCGAAGCCCCGAAAAAATTCTGGATATATGCACTATCCAGAACTTACCCGGCGTTGTGTTATGGCACTGAAAACTTAGAAAGATCTAAGCACATTACTTGGTAATGTGCCGACAAAAAACAATAATAGTGCGTATTGGAATGCGTGTAAAAAACTTTATTTGCTCTCTGCGATACGTCTGTGTGCATCGACGGTGCAACGCAGCATTGCCGGTCTACGCTCTAACCAACTAAGCCACCACGATCCTACAGATATTTTTGATTTTTGTTTGGTGTTGTTAGAGGAAGTTGCGTGGTTCTCCGCTCATTGCTAAACTTCTCAATCCTCCAATAAACCCTCACATTTTATGGCATCGGTCCTCACTCGAATAAGCTCCTTATATTACTTTGTAGGTTTCGTCCATGTGTGAGAGAGGAAGCAAGTTATTGTTTAACTTACCATCGCTTTTTCCTAGTTGATACAGTATGACATAAACAAGACGGCCCTGGAACGTATACCTCAGAGGCTTCACCGTATCAATTAGCGATGTATTCACAAAAGTTACATTAGCTCTCGGAGTAATGTAAAACATGAGTTTATCGGGACCTTAAAATTGACTGTCATAAAATATTGTTTGTAAAGAAGCAATACGCGTGTTACCTGTAACTTTGAGGTTGAATTTCACTTGTGTGGCTGTCAGCGCCTCTTTGGAAACCAAACTGAGTGTTAAAGTTTCGTTTGCTGGGAAAGATGGCTGACTAGGTATCCATGTTGTATAGTTACTATCAAAATTTAAACAAAAAATCTTTGAATAGAAAAAAATAAAATTGAAATTTTTTAAATTTACTTCTACTTACATTTTTTTGACGACTTTAGAATGAATTAGCGGTATAGCACATAAGGTATATTTGTCGCAATCTTCTTGAATCGGAGTGATGTCACTTAGTTCTTTTACATATTTGTTCAAAGCACTCGGGGAGTTTCTGTCCATATTGTACATAATAATACCCGAATCTGTTCTGATTTGTTCAAAGGATTCGTTGAAAAATTGCCTTTGAGTGTGCTGAAAAAAAAATTATACTAACATTGGCTATATGACGGCCGATGTAAAATATAATAATATTATGATTATTTTCTACAACAACTTAATGGATATCTAGAGAAATGATTGATATAGCATTTATTAACGTAAGCTTTCCTCGAAAATTTATATACAGTTATCCTCGAAATCTAAGCTCCATTCAACAGTATTGCAGAAATGATGAAAATAATGATGCAAAATCAAAATGGTTATTTCTTACCATGAGCCAATGTCTTTGTGGAGTGGGAGAGTCTTCGTTTCCATTATATGGAAAGCCTAGTGGGGTATACAATAGACCGAAGAATACAGCAAATGTGGCAAACGACACTAAGAAATACCTCATCACTTGACGAAGCAAGTTTGTCAAAACTGTCTGAAAGCCAAAAAACACATATAAAAGAGTCTAAAAATACTATTTTTTCCATCTTACAAGTGAAGTTGTAGACAGTAATGTGAAAAATAAACAAATTGTTCCTATGTACAGTTCAGGATTTGTATCAGATCCCAGCCTTCCAGTGATTGGAATAAAAGCCAGCAAACTTTGCCAAGCTTGGTACACTATAGTTATAATAGGGACCACTAAGCTGGAAATGTAGATTATTTGCCAAGTTCTTACTGAAAAACAAATTGATAATTTTTCAATAATATGCATTTTAATTTTCGCAAAGCTTTCTCACCTGTGTGTTCTAATCGGCAAATTTGAATGATAAGGAAACCAACTGAACTGAATAAAACCAGAATCATTATCAAATAAGCCGATCTGATTTGCATAATGGTAGCAATTAGTAAAATAAAAGTCCAAATGAGCCTTAGAAGATGGACTTGTAGCTGACTGCGTGCGCCTAAAGAAAGGCTCTGAAAAGAAGTACACTGAGGTTCCGGTTAGTGACAATTTTTGACTTCAGTGTTGCTATGTTTGTATCTTCAGAACAGTGCATGCTTTTTGGCCTGCTCAGACTCATTCTGTGAAGCCTATATCATGAATAACTACCATTGAAAAAATTTGATATGTTCTTTAGAGATGATTATATAATTTTTATAAATTTCAGCTGTGGACTGACGCACTATGACGTCACAGCCTATACGACGGTGCGTAACGAGAATAGTCTAAACTATGCAGACTTTTAATAGATCACATTTCAAAGGTTATAGTTTGCGAATTTAGTTTTTGTGCAAGTTCCCTATTATTAACAAAAATGTATGCAGGTAAAGTGTTTTTAATGTTGTAAGTAGGTATATTGTTTATCATATTAATAAAATCAAACCTACCTGATGATTACTAATACTCAGTAGGCAACCAGATAGAACAAACGTAGGGACTACGTAAAGACTGAAAATAAACCATGGCCTCCCATACCAGGACATGGTTTTATTGAGTAGATCCAATACAAGTGCTAAAGCTACCATAAATACTGCCGCAAGTAACCAGCTAACCACGATTAATGTTATGGTAACCCCAAAGTATTTGAGCGTGGACTTTGATAAACCTGAAAATGATGGTACATCTTGTATGTTATGCAGTGTGAGGCAAAAACATGTTAACACTGTATGGAAGTCTACATAATAATATGGTAATAAAAGTGATTGAACATCCATTTAATGCTAACATAATAATAAACTCTGTATTGAGTGGTATACGAACTTGCTCGAAAGCTGATAACACTATAGATGAAGGATCCAATAGATAGACCGATGGTAATGAAGTTAACAATTAAAGCTGTTTTCTGGCTATAATATATAAGAAACCATCCAAAAACTTCAAAGAAAACTGGTTTACCAGCTGCAGTTTGCTGTTCTGAAAATGTATTTATGTAACTTCGAATAGCGAAAAACCGTTATAAATTCTTACCTAATACTTCTGGAGCATTGGCTAAACTTTTAACCAAAGATAAAGTATTGTCTCCACCATGTTGATACGTGCCCATTCGAATATTTGAAAAAGTATCATATTTTGTGTGATACCTATAACCATCTCGAAAATAAGCCATGTCAACACCTAAGAGTGTTGTGTAAAAGTGTTATTACCAAATATTATACCCTTTTTGATATCTGTTTACCGATCATATTTCCAAAATCCCTGAAAATTCTAAAATCTGTATCCGAAGGGATAAGCCCCGACTGGAATATCTCTTCTCCCAAAACACTACCATAAGGATGGGGTACTTCCTGATAATATTTCAACAACCACGGAGCCTGCGGCCCTGTTTGAAAAAGAATAAGTTTTCCTCCCGCTCCTGAGGCTTCTAGGTTAATAAGAATTTTTGATCTACAAAGTAAACAAAATAGGTTATTTGGTGATGAAAATAAAGCAAATGGTTTGTATAAATTTTTAATGAATTTATCCGAGAATTTATCCGTTACTTTACGGACACACTGTATATTTATATTTAGTACAAAAATTTAATATCGGGTCTTCAAAAAAAAAACAGTCAAAGATTGCTATAGGTTTTTAACCGTACGTCGCATTATTGTTCTTTTATTGGTCAAGATTTTTGACATGGCATTTTGACATAAAAGTCCATTGACAAAATTTAAAAAAATATTGCTAAGACATACATTTAAAAACCCATAGCAATCTTTGATTGTTTTTTTTTTTTAAAGACCCGATACCTATATCAATGCACAAGATAAATGAATGTTGAAGATCCTGAAAAGAAATAATAGAATTCAACTTACTCATTGGCCCATTTATGCTGCGTAATATACCCATGAGAAGCTTGCAACGGAGTCTCCTCAGCACCATTGAAGAGAAATATAACATTATACATTTGTCTTGTGTTACTTTGCGATAAAACTCTTAAAATTTCCAACATGTTTGCCACATGTATCCCATCGTCACTACCACCTAAAACTACCAGTGAATATCTATACATTTTTTTTTTAAATATGTATAACCTGGGCTACTAGGAACTGTATCGAAATGTGCGTTGATTAGAATGCTGTGTTCAGATATGTTATTTTGACCGTGCAGTTTCACAATTACATTTTGTACTTTGTCGTATATATTCATATAGCCACCCACATCGTTCAAATAATATCCACCTAAAAGAAATATGTTTTATAATTTTCTCAGAAACAATAGTATTTTGAGTGGTTTACCCGAAACACTTTGAACATCATATTCAATATACTGGCTCGGATTAGCTTCAGATATAATCGAGTTTATTCTGGTTGTAAGAAAATCTATAACGACATATTCATTTTCGTAACTGCCAGTCACTTTTGGCCCTAGATCAGTGAGGTACTTCAAGTCATTCATGGCTCTGCCAGTTATATAGCAATCTGGATAGTCTGTCTAAAAATATGTACCTATATGTACACGTCTGGCAAGTAAACATCTTACATGCCAATTTCAATGCGATAGAATGAAATGTTTAGAAAAAGTCTAAGGTTGAATAGAGAGCGAAAACGATTTCCCCTATTCCACCTCCAGCAAAAAGCGCTGAGAATGCTAGAGGTGGAACAGGGAAAATCATTGTCGTTCTCTTTTAAATTTTAGACTTTCTATAGACATTTCATTCTATCGCATTAAAATTGGCATGCAAGATGTTCACTTGCCAGCCATGTATATATTTTTTGCATTTATGATATCTCTCCAAACAGTCAATAATCAGTTTCCAAATATCCTAATTTATGGTATTTCTGAGGATGCACTCTACCACGAAAACAGGAACCGCGACTCGAAAAACCGAGCAAAATTCTACCGCTTAAAACCAGAAGCGCGCAACTCAAAGCAATGGAAAGTTACCTACTTTTTAACAATTACCGTGAGAGTTCGAGACTGCGCAGAACAAAACTACGCAGGATATAATTCGCGAAATTCATGTACCAATAAATGGCACTAAATTACGCGAAAAAAGCAATATGTCTGCCGAACTCAGTGAATAACAAAGCCAGTTTTTTGAGGTTAATTTTTGTTAAATTGTGTTTTATGGCGTTTTTGTGATTTATATAACAGAAATAAACTACGCGTCAATCGAACTCGAACACCCGAATTTTTGGTCACTTTTTGAAAGGCTATAACTCAAAATCTAGCAGGCCGATGTTGGTCAAATTTTCAGGAGTGGAAAGGATGCTCTAATTGCTATTTAATTTCCAGAGATTTGCGGCCATCTGCTAAAAGATACAGGGTGAAGCATAAGTTGGCGGTTTTTGTGCAAAAGTTTGGGTTCACCCCATTCGGCTGGAGGAAAGGTTAAGTAGATTTTTGGTATGCAGTTTAGAAGAGTACCTTAGTACCTCGGGATGTTTTTGAGATTTTTTGAATATCGCAGCCGACTACGATTTTATCATGAGCTATATGATTTTATGTAAAATATAGCCATTAACGTCATTATTTCTTTTCGAAACAAACACTACAAGAATGGCGCATGTGAAAACATACTTAGAACATATTATACAGGGTCATACAAAAATATATAGGGTGTTCTGATAAGAGCTTCCGGATGTTTTTCTCAATTCAAACGAAAAGGAAACTAGGAAACATTTAATACCTACTTTATAGCAATAAGTAACATGCGTCCTTATTCTTGAAACAGAGGAGCAGCGTTTCCAGGAGAACGAGTGTTCTGTCTTTCTCAATGGAATGGAAATGATAATATAATTAACAAAGATGGAACACTCGTTCTCCTGGGATCGCTGCTCCCCTGTTTCAAGAATAAGGACCATGATCGTTTACAATTATACGTGAAACGCAATATCCAACAAATGGCCACCACGACTTCTCTCACAGCACTCAATTTTTTTGCCAAAATTTTCGATCATATCTGTGCACATTTCCAGTGGAATCTCACGAATAATACGCCGAAGCACATCTTTCAACTCTTGCATTGTTTGGGAGATTGTTAACATACGGTTTGCTTTTGATGTAACCCCACAAAAAAGAGTCTAGTGGGTCTTAGATAGCAAGATCTAGGCGGCCAATTGACTTCCCAATTTCTTGAAAGAAGTTTACCTTCAAACCGTGTTTGCAATAAGTCAATGGTTTATCTTGCTGACATGTTGCGCCGCTTATATCAAAATAAAAGTGTATGTGAACAATCCCCAAACAATTCAAGAGTTGAAAGATGTGACGGCGCATTATTCCTGAGATACCACCGGAAATGTGCACAGATGTGATCGAAAATTTTGGCTAAAGAGTTGAGTGCTGTGAGAGAAGTCGCAATGGCTATTTGTTGGATATTGTGTTTCACGTATACCTAATTGTTAACCATCATGTTACTTATTGCTATAAAGTATTAAATGTTTCCTATTTGGCTTTTCGTTTGAATTGAGAAAAACATCCGGAAACTTATCAGAACACCCTATATATTTTTGTATGACCCTGTATAATATGTTCTAAGTAGGTTTTCACATGCGCCATTCTTGTGGTGTTTGTTTCTAAAAGAAATAATGACGACAATAGCTATACTTAACATAAAATCGTATAACTCATGATAAAATCGTAGTCGGCTGCGATATTCAAAAAATCTCAAAAACGTACCGAGGTACTAAAGTACTCTTCTAAACTGCATGCCAAAAATCTACTTAACCCTCCCTCCAGCAAAATGGGGTGAACCCAAACTTTCGTAAAAAAATCGCCAACTTATGTTTCACCCTGTATCTTTCAGCAGGTGGACGGAAATCTGTTAGCAAATGCAAATTAATTAGCAATTTGAGCAGTCTTTCACTCCTGAAAATTTAAACAAAATCGGCCTGCTAGATTTTGAGTTATGGTCTTACAAAAAGTGACCAAAAATTGGGATGTTCGAGTTCGATTGATGCGTAGAAATTCACCTGACCGTCATTCTACCGCTTGCACATTCAAAAACAAGATGGTATTCTGCATAACACTGATGTTTTTGTTCGCGCGCTCATGTATGTGCGTACATGTTTTCAGACATCCACGTCCGTGTGTAACCGCCTTTACATACAAATCCCGGTACCGTTCTTCATTCATACTTTCTCTCATTAAAATTACTAGTTCAGTCTACCCATTCCGATAAATAACCCCCCCCCCTCCAAACTGTCACGCCAGCACCACCAAAAGCCTCTCTTCCATGCATTCTTCTCTATAGCTTTCACGCGTTTCTCTACATACTAATAGTCCCCAGTACATCGACCTTAAAATTTTGTAACTCATGTACACGCCCAACTTCCTGAGCGGCTTCATAACACCAAGTCGGACAATAATTTTAATGTCTCCACCCTGGGCGATGGGACATTGCTGCGCTAGCTCTTCGTGAAGTTGTCGTTCTGACGTCCCTAAGGAAGTTGATACATGTACGTGTAGTTTCAATGCTAATCGACTGTTTTTTACATTACATTAACGATATCACATTTGTCGGACAAAAACCATGTGGCTTTGGGGAAGGTCCGACACCCCCAACATGTCGCTGTGGCGTCCCTAAGGAAGTTGATACATGTACGTGTAGTTTTAATGCCAATCGACTGTTTTATGTATTACATTAACGATATCATATATGTCGGACAAAAAGCACGTGGCTTCGGGGGAGTCCGACGCTCTCAACATGTCGCTGTGGCGTCCCTAAGGAAGTTGATACATGTACGTGTGTTTTTAATACCAATCGACAGTTTTTTACATTACATTAACGATATCACATTTGTCGGACAAGAAATTTGAGATAATCAATGAAAAAATTGAAATTAGTTTGCCTTAACGCAACGTTCATATTAGTCAGTTTATTATTTACCTACTTTGACAAATACCTGTGGGGCCCTGTGTCATATTCCCTGATCTGTTTTTTTGATAGTTCTCCGAGTATTTACGGAAATTATTCAGTAAACGGCCATTCAAAACCACGCGTGTGAGAAAGAATGGATATTCAGTCGTGCACCGGCGTATACAAGGGGGGATAATGGGGGTAATTACCCCCCCCCCCCAAGATCGTTACGATGGACGAAAAAAATGTACCCTACACCTTACAAATAAATCTATTTTTTATATTTTTACTTTTCAGCAACTGGCCCTAACTTGTTTTCTAGTTTGCACAGTGTCCGCACTGCCCGCATGCCATTTATAGCGAATTCTATTCAAAGGGATAGTGCACACTGAGTGTATTCATATCTTTCTCTACTAGCTTGCATAAGAAAGAGATAAATAAATTTTTTGTATTAATCCTACCAATAGAATTCGCTATGCCTATAATTGAAAAGTTTTAGGCGATTCTCATAGCGAATTCCATTGGTAAAATCAGTGCGAAAGAGTGTATTTTTATCTCTTTCTTATATAAGCTGGTAGAATAAGATACGAATACACTCGGTGCGCACTAACCTTTATTCCAATGGAATTCGCTATCAGAGTTCGGTTTCGTTATTTGTTGGTAGTACAGAATATATTTACCTAACAAGTGCGAAAAATGAATTTTTCCGCACGAGTCTGTCGTTCACCCAAAGACGCGTAGCGGAATTCGGTGAAGCAGCCAAGTTCGGAAGACAGATTTTCCGCATGTGTTAGGTACAATAGTTTTTTTACAGACGTGCGGAAATAAGTAGGTACATATACCCAAGGATGATACACACTACTACTACTACAGGATAGCTTATCCTCATAAGGCCTGTTTGTAAAAAATCCCCCTCTACCCCCCTTAGCCAAACAAACAGTTGTGACGTAAGCAGCATGGCGTAGGCTGTTTAAACAGCTGAAAACTTAGTTATGACGTCGACAATGGTTGAAAACAGTTGAAAACCAATATGGCGGCAATTACCAAAAACGAGAAAGAGTTGTTTCAGAATATTAATTAATGTAGTGAAACCAAGTTTTGCATAAAGGAAAAGCCCGCGGAATCATAACCTGTGGTACAAACACCCTACGTGAAGACGAGAAACGACACGCTGTCTACGTCATCACTGATATTTTGGCATGGCAGCGGCGGCTTCAGATTGAACTACACAGGCCTTATGAGGATAGACTATCCTATAGTAGTAGTGTGTAGTATCCTTGCAGGAAACTGAGGTCCAAAAGTAACCTCTTTTCCAGGAACTAGTAATTAGTAATTCGATTACTTTCGGAACGCTTTTCTGTAGTTGCCACATTTTTATTTTTCGTTGAGGAATTATGATCAGGAGCATTAACCCTCAGATTTGACTGGATTTATGCCCGAGTGCATCCTCTCTCTTAACTGAGGCTTAACGATAACTATCCCTTAAATTGACAGTTTTGCATGGGAAAATGTCACTTTAAGGAATAGTTATCTCTAAGCCTCGGTTAAGAGAGACGGTGCAATCGGGCATTAACGATTTAACCCATTTCCCAAAATCAAAAAAAAAAATACTTGCTTCTTGATGTTACAGATT